CTCACCTGGGACTCCAGAGCTCTCCCAATGCAACTGATCCAAACTGAGTAGTGCTGAGCAGTGATATCTGCTCTGGACTCTGAGGATTGGGTAGATATGTAGCTATATGAAGATACGTGTCATTAATAATTTTCACACTGATTCCAGGTTAAAATGATAATATTCTTCATGCACTTAGTTTAGTAAGGTGCAGTGTCATAATTAATATTGCTTGTTTCTCTTTTCTTTTCTTCATAAGACTCCCAGGTGGAACCTGAGGAAGTCCCCCAGAGAGGAAATGGGCCCTCACTTCAGCCCATCAAGTAGGTCCTAATCTTAAACCGTGGAAAAAGAACTCCAGGACACATCAGTCCAAACCTTAAGGCAGATTTACTAGACCAAGTTAGAAAGTGAGGAAGAATAAGAGAAAAGCTTCAGCTTGAGTAGCTGAAAGGGGCTCACTCTGATTCAAGGCTCAGACTGGCCTGCTCATGAAAGCAGAAGGCCAGCCTTGCAAGGCTAGCTGAGGCAGAGAGGGTCCAGTAAATCATTATTTCAGTCTAGTTTCATGGCCCCAGAGGGATCCTTAGGGCTTAAGGGACAATTAGGCACAAGAAAAATATCCATCATCCTTGTTCAGGAGGAGAGACCTCAGTTCCCTTATAGGGTAATTGCACCTGCACTGGGGAGGAGATGTCATCCTAGAGTAGTATCCAAGGCTCTGCTGTGTCCCAGGCTAAGACAACTGTAGATTGGAGGTGACCACATGTCATTCCAGCAGGGTCTGAAACAGGGTGTTTTGGAAGCTGGCAATGGGTGTCTACAGAAACCCTGAGAATTCCTTTAGCATCTCTGCTTTTGGTGTCCACGGTCGTGGAGGACGATGAGCTAGACCAGGTCAATTCAGGGCGAACAATTCTTGTTTTGCCAACTTTTCCTGACTGATTAACATTTCTGCCTACAGAGCCGAGCAGGAGTCTGACCCAGAGTTATAAGCTAAAAAAGGTGCCCAAAACAACTGAGTTTCTTTCTGCCTGTCTTTATTTCTTCCATCCTACCTCCAAAATATAGAAAATTGTGGGTTGCCTGTGTGACTCACCTGTTTCTTCTGAGCGATGCTGCCTGGGAGGTACAGTTTTGCCAGACCATTTCAGGACAGGCCAAGGGACATCAGAGGGTATGGCTGGAAGGGAGGACTTTGAACATTCCCAATACAAAGGAATGATTAAAGTTTGAGATGACGGATATGCCAATTGCATGATCTGGTCATCACACATCATATACAGGTGCCAAAATGGGACACCGCACCCCATAAGGATGTACAATTCTGTGTCAAATATTTTAAATGTATTTTTAAAGTTTAATTAATGCAATGAAATAAATAATATTAGAGGGATTTTCTGTGAAAGACTGAGATATGACAAGGCAGTGACCTCAGGCCTGTGGAAACTACTGATAGCAAGAGGAGAGAGGTGTGGGCCTCAGGTTCAGAGAGGAGCAATGTCAAATCAGAACCAGCACTGGAGGCCACCAGTGTGTTCTCCAAAGCAACATGACTCTCAGGGACTGGTCACAGGACTCTCTCCAGTTCCAAACATTCAAAACAGTGCCTTCCCTCCTCTCTTCATTGGCAGGTAGGACATAGGACATGAGGCTGTGGCTGCGAGGCCTGGGCCTCCAGGCATTGAGGAGCTTCTGGGTTGTCCGTGGAGTCCACACACAGGTGCCACCTCCTCCTGTCCCTCAGAAGGTTTTGACCGACTGGGAAGCCATCTGCCTGGGGAGGCAGCCGGTGCCCGAGTACTTCAACTTTGCCCATGACATGCTGGACATGTGGACTCGGCTCGAAAAGGTGACACCCATCCTGAACTCGTGTCTACCCTGAGCAGATGAGGCTGCTCACAACTACTCCCATGGAATTTAAGGGCTATAAAACAGGTTGACGAGAATATTGTGAGCTAGAACCTGGCACTTATGAAATTTTAAACTGCTAGCATTTACACCTCAGGGGGGAAATTGCGAGCCAGTGTTATAAGCCCCAAAGCTCCTTGCATAATTCCTGAGAGGTCGCACATCCCTGAGCTAAAAATCATACCCTGATTACTTCCCCATTCATCTGATCAAGAGCAGGAGGAAATTCTGATTTGCTGCTATTCTATCTTTAGTATTTTTCTCAACCCCATTGATTTGCCTTCTAAGTAAAAAGCTCTGGCTCAAAGTTTTTCAAAGGTCCTAGTGATATACAGATTTTAGTTAAGATAACCCCAATTTCTTCATGTGTCTTTCTGCATATGCTTTCCTCTTTATTTTCTCTTCTAGATATGATTGTCATGTGTTTTCTGTTTTATTTTTTATGTTATATGATACATTTTCATTGCTAATAAGGGGATAAAATGTTTTCTTTCAAAGACATTTGGGACAACCAGATAGCTCAGTGGACTAAAACACCTGTTTAGACAGAGCACAGGGACCGGGTTGGATCTCCAGCATCACGAGCCACACTGGCCCCGCCCTTGGGGCGCACTGAGACAGAGATTGAGGCTGGGTGTGGTGGCACGTGCCTGTAATCTCAGCGCTTGGGAGGCTGAAAACAGGAGGATCACTATGAGCTGAGCTGTATAGTGAGACCCTGTAGACCCTGTACTAAATACATAAAAAAAGAAATGTACTTTGATTTTAAGACAAGTTTGTTCAAACCAAAAAATGAGGTCAATACTGCACTAGTAGGTGTAGTAAGGTTTAGGAAAGTGACATGGAGTGAATGAGACCAATTAGGAGGCTTGCAGCCAGGGTTCAGCTGCACACCTGAAGTGTGAACTTGGACAACTGGATCTCAGTTTCTCATCTCAAAAATGAGTCATGTCATATCCTACTCAGATTGGTGAGTGCTCAGTAGGAAGTAGGTATGAGAGGGAAGAGAATGCTCCTTCCTTAGCTGTCTACAAATCTAAATTCTTCTTTTTCTTTTCCTTATCCTTTTTTCTGTCTTTTTGTCTAAGGGACAGCCTTAGAGGACTTCTAATCATAAAGATAAATGAGCGGGATTAAGTCTGCTAACCAGGCATTGCAGGAATCAAGGGAGAATCCATTAAAGGAGCTGGATGAATCTCAATAAAAAATAGCAAAAGCCTGTGGTACTTTAATCTGCTCCAGTTCCAACCCTCACTTTCCAGATGTTGCCACAAAACTGAGTCCAAGAAAGGAATGATACCCGAGGGTGGCAGTAGGCAGTGAACAGCTTTGTTTCACACCAGTGGTCCTAGCTGGTGTAACTCCCAACAAAAGCCAGGTGGCAAGTGTCTGTGAGCCAGCATGTTTTTATATGAGGCAAACAGGGGCTGCAAAGGCAAGACAGGACAGCCTGGCAGTTCTGATTAGCCAGCAGGGCGAGGTCATTGGTCACAGGGCTGGATTAATGGTCATGAACTACAAGACCAGGTTAACAACCACAAAGCTTGGCCAAGTCAAGTATTTGGAATGTCTGGCTACACTCTCCTGGCTACCGTGGTCAAGAAGACAATTAGAGATCCATGGAATAGTTAGAGTTAGGCAGCATCAGAGAGAACAAAATTTACAAAAACAAACAAACAAAAAAACATTTTTCCTTATACAGTTTTTCCCTTTCACAGATACATGGTAGACTTGGAAAATAATAATCCTCATTCCAGTGTAGCCTAAGAGCTATAGAGGGAGCAAATGGGAATCAGACGATTTGCCAAAGAATTATCATTGTTTGATCCGTCTGCGGGTTCTTTGTAAGACCCTGCCTTCAAACCTCTCTGTATGTGACCTGACTCAACTCATCCAGTGAGAAAAGCCTTTTCCTTAGCAGCCATTCGCCAAAAATAATCACAGGTGGGAGTTTTAGTTTGTGGCTGAGGAAAGTGGGCAACTGTTGGAGCAAATAACAGACCAGACTAAACAAAGTGCTAAGTGACAACAGCAACAACAAAAGCCAGGAAATGAGATGCCAGTAAGGACCTTTGAAAATCTCCTAACATATTACCGGACATCTCCAAAGCAAACCACACCACTGGGAGGACTTTTTGCATCCACACCGGAGAAAACTCTAAGCTCTCACTTCTGGCTGACCTGCAGGTTATGATCAAGCAAGAACTATGGCCAAGTCAGAATCACTATGCTGTACAGGCTTTCTTTGTAGGATTATGAAAATGTTTTGAGTTAGATAGTGTCCACTGCATGGTGGCACATGCCTGTAATTCCAGCACTCTGGGAGTCTGAGGCAGGAAGATCACAGGTTCAAACCCAGCCTGGACATTTTAACAGGAGAAGAAGGGATATAATTTGGTGTGAAGTGGGTTAAATCCAGAGAGAGAGAGAGAGAGAGAGAGAGAGAGAGAGAGAGAGAGAGAGAGAGAGAGAATAGTTATATAATCTTGATGGAATGTATTAAACACCAGTGAACTGTCCATTTTAAAGGGCATTTTTATGAAAAGTGAATGTAGCAATGTCAAAAAGGGGCACATACGAGACAGTATAAATAATATGCTACCTTTTGTGTTAAAAAGCTGTTATGGAAAAATGTGCTTGTGCTTGCCTAAATGCTAGAAAGATTTGCAAGACACTAATACAGTTGCTCACTACTGAGGCTGGTGAAGGCGGGGACAGGGTGGGCTGCACAAGGGATGCAGCGGGCCTTCCCAGTGCATAGCTTTTCCCTGCCTCTGGATTGCTGAGCTCTACAAATACGCTGAAGATACTAGCTATACCAAAAGATAAAATTATTTTTTAAAAAAAGGAAACAAAAACCCTCACTCGGTGGCTTCTATTTCTCTTCTGCCTGCACCACTGTCTAGGCTGGGGACCGGCCCTCAGGCCCTGCATTCTGGTGGGTGGATGGCAAAGGAGCTGAGGTCAAGTGGAGCTATGAGGAGCTGGGGAAGCAATCCAGGAAAGCAGCCAATGTTCTGGGGGATGCATGCGGCCTGCAGCCTGGGGACAGAATAATGCTGGTGCTCCCACGACTCCCAGAATGGTGGCTGGTCAGCGTGGCCTGCATGCGCACAGGTCAGTAGCAGGGCTGGGACTCCCAGTCAGGCTGACACTACCTGCCAGAGCTCTGAAGTTTCCACAAGGGTGGGGAGATGGATCAAAGTAAATCCTGTGTGGTTTGTTTGCTTCCCCTCCGCCTGCCAATCATGACTTGGTTTCATTGTGGAGACAGACAACAAGAGAGTAGATAAAAATCAGTCTCACTCAGTGAGATCCACAGTGCAAGGAGCTCCTAGAGTTTTTTTGGGTGGCTGCTATGTGTTATGGTTTGTGTCTTGATGTCTCTGTTTAATCTCATGCAGTCATGGGGCGGCTTCTAGACTTTGTGATTGACTCGTGGTCCAAGGCAGGGATTATGGGTGTGAGTGTTACACTCACTCTGGGGCGTGTAGCCTGCATGTAATATAAGGGAGGAAAAGAGGCTTGCCCTCTGCCATCCCTCCTCCCTTTTTACTCTTGCTGTTTTGCTGTTTTGCCAATTCCATGAACTGCTGCCCACTGCCATGTGCCACCCTGCCTTGGAGCCAGCTGAGTATGGACTGAAACCTCCACAAACTGTGAGCTAAATAAACCTTTCCTTCCTTAATTCTGGGCATCAGGTATTTTGGCTCAGCAACAGGAGAAAAATAACTAAGACAGTTAACCACCAAGTTAAATGATCCACATGATCAAAACTTCCCTTTGGGGTGTTATTTTTTTATGTTAGGTAAATTTCTCCAGTTCCTCTATTTATACAAGTTCATCCATTTCTTTGTTGTCCAGACAAAATAACTCAAAACCACAAGCCATGTTACATCAAGTCTCAAGTCTCTCCATGTTTGCCGACACCCAAGCTGATGGCCTTAGAGTCCCACGTCCCATGTTCTCCTTAGACATACTTGTCACTGCTCTTCCAGACTTTAGTGTCTGATCTATTTCTCCTGCTGCCATTCTGGCTGTCTCCTATCCACTTGGGCCTCAGACTGGAACCCAGTTCCCAAAGTACCACAAACAAAAGTACAAATAAGTCAGGCTTCTACTGGAAAGAATGAGAATGAGAGGGAATGAAAGCCAACATCTTCATAAAGCCCTTCAAATTCTCAAAGGCTTGACAGATAAAACAAAGGGTAGTAGCAGGACTTTCATCCAGTCCTGATGTTATTGAGCCTGGCCCCCGCCCATGTCTCCCAGCCTCACCGAGTGGATGTGGAGAGTGACTAATGCTTTCAGGACTTGCTTCTTCTCATGTGTGAAATGAGAATGTTGGGCTCAGTGGAATGTTTACAATACACATCCTCTGATGCTCAGGGGCTTTCAAGTGTATGATTAAAACAGGTCCCTGATTTTTGCTCCCTCCTTCCTCTTGGTAAAATCAGCTACCCTTAGAATGGCTCTGGCCATGACAATGTGCGTTCTCTGGTAACCCACACACACATCCTCTGCTATACTCTCCCTATATTCCCCCCATACCAGCAAGCAACCCACACCCAACACAAGACTTCATGGTAGCATTTTGTTTGAAAGACATAGAAAACCACTGAACCAGGTAATCTTCAAGGCAATATAATACCATCGCAATCACATATTCTGGGGTTTAACAAAGCTTCCTAATTCCATCTTTACAACATAATAGGTATGTGAACTTGGGCTAGTCTAAGTTTTTTATTCTACATAGTATCAATAAAATTCACCTTCTGGTGTTGTGAAAATTAAGTAAAATAATGTATTTTAGGTTCTTAGTGCATGTTAATGCTCCATAAATATTTTCTGCATTTCATTATTATTATCATAGTCATCTATTCCAGCCTTCTCCAGACCCTGCCTGCTCCTGTATCTGGCCTCTGTGCTGAGGTCTTACTCTGCTGTTAAGACACCCCCCCCCATGTGATTTCAGGGGTTGTCATGATTCCAGGTGTCACCCAGCTAACAGAGAAGGACCTCAAGTACCGGCTGCAGGTGTCCAGGGCCAAGTCCATTATCACCAGTGACTCTCTAGCTCCACACGTGGATGCCATCAGCAACGAATGCCCCTCCCTACAGGCCAAGCTGTTGGTGTCGGACACCAGGCGCCCAGGCTGGATGAACTTCAGAGAACTACTGCAGTGAGTCGAGGTTATCCAAAAGAATCACAAGAAAATAAAGTCAGGCACTTTTCCCCTTAAGCAACACAACATGAAGTGAATCCCTGAAAATTCTTGAAGATAGTGAATCAGGAAGGAGCACTCACTTTGGAAACCAGACTGACCTGTGACATAGGCTTTGTGACCAATGCTCAAGTCCTCTCAGTCTGCACTAGATGTGTGCCCCACTGGCTTTTCTGTGTGCTCTACTTTCCTCTGTGTTGGTGGCATTATTGATCACAGTCAGGTTAGTTGTTATGTTTACTATCTAGCAAGTGGCCAATAATAAAATAGCTGCTCTGTGCTGAGTCCGTAGTGTATTCTAGGCACAAAGCCAGGTAATCATTCACTTCCTTCATCCATGCAGAAGAGTTTTAATTTATTAAATGACAAGCATTGTGTGGTATTTTCAACCACAATAAATAAAAGATATTATCTTATTTAAGCCTAGAAAAGAACTCCATGAAGCTCTAACCCCATCTTATAGATGAGGAAACAAGCTTGGAACAGTGAAATGACTTGCCCAAGACAAAAAGAAGTCAAGTCAGGGTGGGGATGGGCCCAAAGTCACGTTTGTCTTGAAGCAAGGACCTGGGACATTGAGACTTTCTCCAAATCAAAGACCAAAATCCAAAAGGGACCCCTCAGAGTCTTACACTATTGAGTTATCCATGTGTGTCCTACAGACCAGATGCCCCTGCATGCTTTTGAAATACATATTATGAGGTTCCACACCTGACCTACTTAATGAGCCATATCTGAGCTAGTGCCATGGGAATCTGGAGGTTTAAAATCAACCCATATGATTTAGACGAGCTACAAGATTGGCCTAGATTGGCAGCCCTCAATTTTAGTTGTCATGACAAGAAACTGGGGAGCTTTAAAATAATAACTCCAAATTACAAGGGGTTGAGGTGGCCCTGGGGTGACACCTACATATGCAGATGTATGCGTCTGGATGTGTATGTGTGAGTGTTGCACTACAAGGTCCGTGAGCCCTGGTAGAAGAACATGGGCTCTTGTGAGTCATTTAACCTTGTCTTCAAAAGAACAACAGAACTCCTGTAAGGTGGGTGTAGGTAATGCGAACTGAAACTGTGCACAGCACCTCACATGTGGTGTTTGGTGAAATGGGGCTCATGTTGTTACTCTGATTCCATTGGTACTGCTCACTAGCTTTGCTACTAAGAGCGCCACCTGGTGATTTTACCTCTTCCAGAGAGGCATCTACAGAACACAGCTGTGTGAGGACCAAGAGTCGGGACGCTCTGTCCATCTACTTCACCAGTGGGACGACGGGAGCCCCCAAGATGGTGGAGCACTCTCACTGCAGCTATGGACTGGGATTTTTGGCCAGTGCAAGGTACTGGAGATGGCCTATCTCGTGGGTCCAAGAACAGAGTGGGTGGGGGAGTGAGAGGGCTAAGGGATGGTTAAATGGCAGCAGTGGAGGTAGGCGACAACGAGAGGGCAAGCGAGCCTCTGGCCTTACTCTGAGCAAGGTGAAAAGCCATTGGGAATCTTTTGTGGTGAAATATACATAAAATGAGTTCACCTTTTGAAAAACATGTATTTTTACTCAATTCATAAAAATTATTGCTATTCAGGGACTGCCATGTGATGTTTTGGTACATGTATATATTATATAAAGTTCAAATCAGGGCAAGTCTAGCTGTATCCTCAAACACTTATCATTCATTTTTGCTGAGCTTTATTCAAAATCTTCTAGCGCATTTCATCACTATGGCCATTTAAATACATCATCCATTATCATGAAATACTCTCGCTTGCTGTGTAACCTTCACCACCATCCAACTTCAGAATTTCTGTTGTTGTTGTTCTTGTTGTTGTTGTTGTTGTTGTTGTTGTTGTTGTTATCTTTTTGAGACAAGGTCTCACTATGGTGTTCAGATGGCCTTGAGCTCACTTTGTAGCCCAGGCTGGTCTCGAACTTGCAACCATCTTCCTGCCTAAGCCTCCTGAGTTCTTGGATGAGAGGGATGTGCCACCATGCCCAGCTCAGAAATGCTTTTATGTCTTCCTAAACAGAAACTTCAGAATCACTAGAGTGGATGACGATTTCCCATTAACTTCTCCTCTGCTCCTGACAACCTCTTTTCCACTTCCCATCTCTATGAATTTAACTACTCTAGGTACCTCATGTGTAAGCAGGAACATACACTATATCTCCATGGGTTTTGAAATTTGGCTTCTTCCACTTATTCTCATGTCCACGGGTTCATCTGACTAGGAGCACATATCAAATTTCCTGAGTTTTCAAGACTCAAAGTATATTGCGTTTCACGTATCCATCACATTTTTAAATCCATGCATGTGGTGGTACGCACTAGGTTACTGCCCCACTTCCCTGCCTCACTTCTGATATTCTATGCATCATGAAGTGTGACTGTGCATCCTTAATGTCTTCTCCCTCCAGAAGCATTTCCAAACTCTCATCTCCTCCCTTGCTCTCCTTTAGGTTCCTAGACTTTGTCGTTGAACAAGGCTTTGTGTTTTGCTAGTTTAAGCACACTCTCTGGAGGCTTCCTGGATGTATATTCTTACTAAACTGCAAGCCACTCAAATTGAAACTAGTCTTTACTACATTCCTGGTGCTAAGTATGAACTGAGTACCAAACAAATGTTGACTAAAAAAAAGGTTCCCTTATCCCAATGTATTAGGACCATTTGTTACCTTATATATTGTTCTCACTAGACTGTAAACTCCTTGAAAACATGGGATCTATCGTGTTAATTCCATATCCTTAGCCTAGGCTATGGTACACAAAAGATGCTTACAAAATATTTGTTATGATAATAGTTGACTTAGGGGTTTGTATACAGATTTGACCAGCATAAATGTGTAGGTATCCACAGTGACCAATGCTCCAAATAAGATGATATGGCCAATGTAATCCTTTGTTATATCACTCTACTACTGATACCTGTTTATTTTTCATTTTGAAATAAGGTCCCTCTAAGTTTCTCAGGCTGAGGTTAAATTTGTGATCATCCTGCCTCAGCCTTCCAAGTAGATCTTGGATTCAAGTTAAAGGCATTGCTGAGAACTCTCTCTCTCTCTCTCTCTCTCTCTCTCTCTCTCTCTCTCTCTCTCCATTTTTACAGACAGTGGATGGGCTTGACCGGATCATCTGTCTTCTGGAACACAACTGACACTGGCTGGGTGAAGGCAGCCTGGACTCTCTTTTCTGCCTGGGGTACTGGATCTTGTATTTTTGTGCATGAGATGCCCCGAGTTGATACCAAAGTTATCCTAAATGTAAGAGACTCAATGAAACATCGCTTAAGTGTTGGGTGAAAATGAGATGCATGTGGTCTACATTTCAAGGTTGTAGGAGAAAAAGTATGAGCCTACTGATGTTAGCCAAGAAGTCTCCCAGGACCTTCCCTAATCTGGGTCCTGTACACCTATTTTCCATCATTGTCTATCCCCAAGCTAGACTGCTAGGGAACGAGCATTTCCTCTCTCCTAACCTTCACAGAACCTTTTTTCTTGTGAGAGGTGCCTCTCTCTCCATATAAGATGAGATGGTCTTCTTCCCCATGATCCTGTTAAAAACTTAGTTACTTGTCAGATCTTGGGGTCAAATCAGAGTCTGCTCAACAACATGGGCTGCTGTCCATGGTGCTTACCACAAGTCTTTTGCTCAACTGCAGTCCTTTTGACTCTTGCCCAGCCTCCCAGGGGCTTCTCAAGCAAAGGGAGAATCAATCCCCTCAGCAAAGACACAGGGCATCTTTCTTCTGTATTCTGAATTCTGACTCTGATGCTGCCTAAAACATCACAGAGCCAATCTGCCTATAGTTTTGTTTTAGCCAAACGGTGACATATGGTGGCAAATAGCACAGTCCGCACCACCTGTCAGACCTGGCTCTCAGCCTAAACGTTCCCTAATAGTGTGGCCTTGGAAAAAAGTCACTTAGCCTCCCTGAGACTCAGTTTCCGTATCTGAAAAAAGACAGAAAAAAGGACCAGCCAAATAGCTTAGCAGATTAAGGCACTTACTTAGGCAGATGCAGGGGCCAGGGGTTCGATCCTCAGGCCTCCTGTGCCAGTCCCGCCCCCCAGGGCATGCTGAGATGGTGCTTGAAACTGGGTGTGGTGACACA